GTTGGTTGGTTGGTTGGTTGGTTGGTTGGTTGGTTGGTTGGTTGGTTAGTTAGTTAGTTAGTTAGTTAGTTAGTTAGTTAGTTAGTTAGTTAGTTAGTTAGTTAGTTAGTTAGTTAGTTAGTTAGTTAGTTAGTTAGTTAGTAGTAGTAGTAGTAGTAGTTAGTAGTAGTTTTTTTTTGTTCGTAGTAGTTGGTACGTAGTAGTTGGTACGTAGTAGTTGGTAGCAGTTGGTAGTAGTTCGTAGTAGTTGGTAGTAGTTGGTAATAGTTCGTAGTAGTTAGTAGTAGTTAGTAGTAGTTAGTAGTAGTAAGTAGTAGTAAGTAGCAGTAAGTAGTCGTAAGTAGTCGTAAGTAGTAGTAGCAGTAGTAGATGTACTAGCAGTAGCAGTAGCAGTAGCAGTAGGAGTAGGAGTAGGAGTAGGCGTAGGAGTAGGAGTAGTAGTAGTAGTCGTCGTCGTCGTCGTCGTAGTGGTAGTGTTAGTGGTAGTGGTAGTGGTAATGGTAGTGGTAGTGGTAGTCGTAGTCGTAGTAGTAGTAGTAGTAGTAGTAGACGTCGAAGTAGTAGACGTCGAAGTAGAAGTAGTAGTCGTAGTAGTAGCAGCAGTAGCAGCAGCAGCAGTAAGAGTAGTAGTAGCAGTAGTAGCAGTAGTAGCAGTAGTGGTAGTGGTAGTGGTAGTGGTAGTGGCAGTGGTAATGGTAGTGGTAGTGTTAGTCGTAGTCGTAGTGGTGGTAGTAGTAGTAGTAGTAGTAGTAGACGACGTAGTAGACGTAGTAGTAGACGTAGTTGTAGACGTGGTAGTAGACGTGGTAGTAGACGTGGTAGTAGACGTGGTAGTAGACGTGGTAGTAGCCGTGGTAGTAGCCGTGGTAGTAGACGTGGTAGTAGACATAGTAGTAGACGTACGAGTAGACTTAGTAGTTGACGTCGTAGTAGTAGTAGTAGTAGTATTAGTAGTAGGAGTAGCAGTAGCAGTAGCAGTAGCAGTAGCAGTAGCAGTAGCAGTAGCAGTAACAGTAGGAGTAGGAGTAGTAGTAGTAGTAGTAGTAGTAGTACTAGTAGTAGTAGTAGTAGTAGTAGTGGTAGTAATAGTGGTAGTAGTAGTAGTGGTAGTAGCAGTAGTCGTAGTAGTAGTAGCAGTAGTAGTAGTAGCAGTAGCAGTAGCAGTAGCAGTGATCGTAACAGTAGAAGTAGTATTATTAGCACTACGAGTATTAGTCTTACTAGTACCAGTCTCAGGTTGTTGATGCCACGCCGGTCTTCTGACTGCAGCCGGGCTGCCCCGTAGCAGAGCCGGCACCTATCGGGCAGCAGCCTTGCGAGACATCCGGTGCGCGAAGGAGCGCACCTACCCAGAACTCCTTCGGCCGGGCATGCCGCCTCGTCGTTTTTGCCACCGAGGTTGGAGGCTGATGGAGTTCGGAAGCCGCCTCCTTCCTCCATCTCTGGGCCCCAATACCGAGCCCGCCAAGCCCCTGATGCCCTCCGACGGGACACAGCGCAGGCGCTTGACCCATGCCGCCATGCACCCCTTTGCCGCCCGCCGGCATACAAATGGCCGAGCGGCACAGCGACAAAAAGGAACGCAGAACAAAGAACGCCTCACAAAAGACAAGGCAAACGAGTCCAACAAACCCAAGTACTAACGAAAACAATCGAAAACCATTCAATCCCCTACCATATGCCCAACTTTGTTCTCTTGAAGTTGCAGGGTTGCAGTTGCTTTTGTGTCAGCAGCAACCACAACAAGGCAAAATTTTACCCACAAGGCCGCTGATTTTTGTCGTCGGAAAAGGAGCAACGACCGAAGGTTGGCCGACGTGCTAACGAAAGTTGTCACCGAGGAAAAATCGAACATTGCAATGAAAGGCATGACCGTCCACTACTTGGGAAGGTGAGCGTGAAAACACACTGAGAGCTTGAAAGGCTGGAGCTAGAGAAGGTACTTCTTCAAGACCAAGATGTACTGAAGGGCTACTAACAACTACTAACTAATTCTTTCATGTGCTAACCCTGACTTGCTTATTTTTTAAAAGGTTTTAAAACCGGGAGGCGTGATCAGATGTAGCACCAGTTACATGTCATGTGCAGTGCATAGCCGTGTGTAGATGCATTTTTCACAGCAGCTGTTTGTTTTTAACTTTGGGTTATTTTTGCATCCTTCAAGCGTGAGCTTGGAACATAACGTCTGGGTTTTGACAGATGAAGTGGTGCAAGTATATGAAATTTTGCATCTCTTGTTGGCCAACGGGAAGCTATCTGGAAGAACGCCGTTGCGGGGAGGAAACTTTAATGCTTGTGTTGGCTTAATGGACGGTCATGACTATGTTGACCAAAAAGGGCCATACGGAATGGGGAGCAGAAACCAGCGAGGAAATGACTGCTCAGGTGATTCTTGAGTGGTGTCATTGCCGTGCATGTCAACATCTTGTGCTGCCGGTGGTGGTCACGATCGCTGGGCCTCGCCAGCGCTGGATTTGAAGTTTTTCACCGCCGCATCTTCAGTAGTATGCCCAATCCCCCACTGCCACTTCAGGGGGTGTGGCCCTTGGTTTTGCCAGAAGTGCTCTTCGAAGTGTGGCATCGTGATTGGCTGAATGGAAAGCTTCGGCTGCAGCGTGTCTCAAAAAGTGGTCCTCCTGGCATTCTCGTAGTCTGGCCGAGAATCATGAGGCTCGTCGGTCCATGAGTCCAACTGGATGATTTGGCGTACTGAACTGAACTGCTAAAGACAACCTGACTGGGAGAGGCCATGGATAGAGCGAAGACGATTTTGCTGTTGGCAAGACAGAAAAATTGTCACTTTCAAGTCGGTCTCAGGGTAGTCACGCAGCAGCTTCAACGACTGCAGTCGTCGTACTGCATGTAGGCGGTGCGCTTCCTT